CACATTCTGTTAATTTTCTTTAAATATTTATATTTCCACACATTCTTTTTGTTTTTTATTTTTGTTTAAATTTCAGTAAGTATTTAAAATGTTAAAAATACATTATTAAAACCATTTTTAATGGATTTGTTTTCTCCATGTGGCCCACCACATATTAATTTCACTAATATCAAATAAATCACTGAATCAAGTTTTAGTTGGATTATCCATTTCATGTTTATGTACTCATGATATGGATAACAATCTATCTTGATAAAATAATTTATCTATATAAAAGCATTTTCACATTTACTGTAATTGTATGTGTGCATACCTACCTATGTTGTATTTGATAAATAAACATGATTCATATTGAGATATGAGAAGCCAAATGTTACACCTACAGTGCATCTGTTATTAACGAGCAACATTCATTTTCAACTATTATTGTATTTAATTCATAAATAAGTTAATTTTACATAAGGTTGACAATTAAAGTTTTGAAACTTCATTAAAAATTTATTATTAAACTTATGTACTTGCTACATCAAAAGAAGCAGTGGCTAAAAACTAACTACAGATAATATTCAAAATATATGTTAAGAAATATTCTAGTATGAATTAACAATTTTTCGTTTTCTCATTTGTTCTAACCATGAATCAAGCTGTTCCTGGGGTGTCAATTCATTGTGTTTGTAATAGTCTTTGGGTGGTTTTCCTTCTTCAAGGCGAACAAAGTAATGACTGTATGTATAGCGAACTTCACCCATTCTGCCTCGAGCATGTCTTCTTATACCCTTTATTACCATTCCCTTATTTGCAAATGATTCGGCTGAAAACAATTAAAATTTTAATTCACAAGGCTCTCAGTGACATTTTCAATATTCATATTACTTATTGATATTTTACAGATAAATGTTTAGATACTTACCAACCCACAAATTACTCTTATATTCAACATTATGATCCTTAACCGCTAGTTCTTGGGCTTCTTGTATTGCTTCCTTAACAAAAACAGCACCTTTCTTGTTGACAAAACTCAGCTGTTTGATAGCTTCATCAACAGTCATGCCCCGAACAAAGCAAGCTATATACCAAAGCTTCTTGGGACTGTACTTAAAATTAGTTTTTTGGTGGCATACAAACTGAAACAAACAAAACATAGTTATTATAAAACTGGTATGAAAAAGTAATGTTAAATGTAATTTTCATTTAAAAAAAAATATATGAAAAAAGCACAGTTATATTGTGTACCACAAATCAATTTATAAAAAAATGCAATAAATTGTAATAAAGATGGATGAACCAATAATCTTTATATCGTAATCTCCTTAGATGAAATGACTTACAGCTGGTCTTGGCTCCTCGCCGATTGCCTGTGGAGGGAATACCTTCTTGTTGTATTCCAAAAATCTTTTTGGTGTTTTAGCTTTTACCCATGCTGCAATCGGTGCACTAGTATGAATACCGAAAACATGATTTGTTACTGATCTAACACCATAAAGGTGTTTTAAAATCGTGTTCATTATAAATATTGGATAACTCAATGAAGAGGTTAAATCATGTTTAGTATCCGAAATGACAGTCTTAGTTTGACGTTTGACAGTTCGAACAAAAGACAAAACCAAAGATTTGACAGATGTCTCAATTTTATTACAGATCGTGCAATCTAGTCATGTTAAAAAAATTTTCACAATTCTTAATGGGGGTAGATAGACATTACGTATTGAATTACGGTTATTTCCAATGGGCGCGACAGAAAATTGAAGGAGATGTGAGAGATGATCATATTAAGATGTTATCAACTCTCACTTCTCATTTTCTTTCTAAATAACCAGTTTTAATAATATTTTACGTATGTTACCACTGAAAGTGTAGGTTTGTAAGATAGATTTTTTAATTAGCTTGATTTACGTTTGAAGTTCATTTGCTAAGTACTCCTGTGGGGGCTGGTCACTGTCAATGTATTTAAAAGCAGCCCAGGGGTCGACTTCAGGAAGCGGCTCCAAATGAATGGACTACCATTGAATGACACGCTGATAGTGTGCGAGCATAGAAGGTCCGCATTCCGGTACTCACAGAATACATTGGGCGCTACTAAAAAGAGCGGTGTTACGACTTATTTACCAATAGTCTTTTCTTTAATAAGTACTGCAATATATACTTGAGACTACCTTAATGCTATTGTTAGCTTTCGCAGGAATCTTAATATTTCATCTTGAAACTGAATCAGTGGGAGAATTAAAAAAAAATTGCCACTGCTGCAGTTTAAATTCTTTCAAACAAAATTCATTTTTTGGTTTGACAACATTTATTCATGTCATGGACCAGATTTCACTATGGCAGGCCCAGACAAAAACATAGTTTGTCACTAGCTAGATTATTTTGGGATCATAGGTCACAATAGAAGACATTTACAATTTTAAATCATATTTATTATATTGTATCAATGTTAATTACAACCTCAGTTGTATTTGCCTATGTGAAGAATTATGTACAAGCTTTAATAAAATTAGTCATAACTTGTCCTCAAATCTTAATGCTAAATAAACAAATTTTATGAAAGCAAAAGTAATTGTGATGCATCAAGATGAGCAAATTAAAATCAATTAATAAAACATTATACAATTTAATATGGGCCTTTGGCACTTAGCCTCGAAGTCATGTAATAATTCATCTATGTCATTGTCCAAATCGTCACTTTGTGCCATTTTGGTGACCATATCGCTTATTAAGAAAGCACCTATTGTTGCTTCTTCATGGTTGTCCTGTATATCTATATTAATAACATGAACTGGTTGGTTATAGACTGACCGCCTTGAACCAAACCATTCTATCACTTGGTCATATACTCTTTCTTCACAAGTGATGATAACATCAAATCTCTCTGCTGATACTTGAAACTTTTCAGGGTAGGGTTTGATTCTACGATTTCGATCCAACATGTGAAGTAATCCATTTTGAGTATAGTATGCTTTATCCTTCTCCAACAAGTCGTTGTAAATGTCATCATAAGGAACTCCAAACTCGTAACAATTAGGTCGGTCAGCTGATAGGCCTGGTAATTTGACTTTCTCACCGGTGCCGTACGACTTGACTTTAAACCCTTTTTTGACTAAGAATGCATGAGCTTCCATGCTCCGATTCATATTTGAAGAGCAAACGACGGCTATATACAAATCAGTCATCGTCATTGAACAGTTATCCGGATCGCTGTTTTAGTTGGGCAACAATATTTTAACTGTGTGAGAAACATAAAACCAATACGGTCAATGCAAAAGAATCTATTCATTGTACAAATATATTCATTTTACTTTAAAGTTACGATATCAATTGTACTACGATTGAGTATTTTTGATTTGACAGGAAAAGAGCCACGGCGTGACAAATTGTTATAACTGACATTCGAATGTCAAATTAAAATGTGAAATGCCTGTTATTATAAATAATATTCTAAACAATTATGAATATCACTTTCATCAAAACTGCTAAAACATAATTATTACAAACGTTTCAGTTCTTAATTGCTTAATATTATTTCCATTTCTTTCAAACATTCAAACTTTGTTCCGTTTATTTATGGATACTCTTTGCTTGGTAGTGTTCTGACATCTGACAGTGACAGCGAGAAATAACCTAAAACAATTTTATTTCCGTGTTTAATTTTTTACTTTTGTGTAATACAAGTTACGAACTAGTTGTTATTAAATGACTTAAATTGCTTTTAAGATTGAGATGCTTTTGTATAATTGACTTACATAATTCGTATATCAACTTAAACAATAATCACATTAGCATTTAAATAAGCCGATTCAAATCAGAATGTTGATACGCGGGAACAAATATTTATTGAGTAGATACGTTTTAATAAAAAAACTTCAAAAGCGATCGTTTTTAACAAATGAATATAAATGTGAATCAGCTTGGAATGGACAAAGGTCTTCTCCCATAATAAATAATATCAATCTGAATGATTTCTATACTTCATTGAGTCAAAATTATGCCTCTAAAGGTGTCATTAGTGCAATAGATGTTGACATATTTGCGAATGCTGTAAAAGAGCCCATATATCTTGACGAACTTAAAGAGCTTTTACACAAATTGAGATTGTCGGCTGAAACCAGAAACACACTTGAATCTACACATCATGCCACAATTAGAAATTATATAGATTTTGGGAATGAGCAAGAATTAATTGACATTCTTAAAGATCCCTTAACCTATGGTGTATTCCTTGATGACTTTGCTGCTAATATATTATTAGATAAACTTATAACATCCAATAACTATGAGTTAGCAGCCGAAGTTGCAGCACTTGTAATGCTCCAAGAAGATTTTTCTAATGAAATAACATGCACATTAAGTCAATATGCATGTTATAAATATATAATAAACTATAAGGTTTTACCTCCAGAGGCCCCAAAAGCGGAAGAGAAAAAGAAAATAGAGGAAAAGAAAATAAGAATTAAATTTCTTAGGAACTACTACCATGATGATCATTTCGATATTAAAGATTTAATGTTATTATCTGGTAAAACTTTGGCCTGGATGTCAAGGAATAACAATGATAATGTCAGTAACAATTTACAAATAATTGGCTGGTTGTATTACAAAAAGTATGACTCTCTTTTATCTTTGTGTGAAAACTATAAAAATCTCAAGTCATTTAAATTATATAATGACGTAATTGAGTTGCTCCAGAAAGAAAGCAGTAAATGTGAAGATAAAGATTCATTGCAAAAATGTATTTCAATTTTAAATGCATGTCCGAAAGCTGAAGGTGGATTAGAAGAATCTATTAAAAAATTAATTGAGGATGCCATTAATAAGACACAGAAAAAAGATATATCCACACAACAGCAGGTAAGTAACAATTTAAAATTCCAAATCCTTTAATGTCAATCTTATGTCGATTTCCTACAGCAACAAACATTGTTGATATGGAAGGAGACCAAATTAAAAATAACATGAAAAGAATATTTGAGATAGATTTAAATTAGTTGTGACCTATCCCAATTTGTCCCATGTTTAGTAGTAACTAACCTTTAAAAAAGTAATGTAGGTAAGGTTGTATTATTTAATAGATAGAAATCTAAGGTTTAGAGGATTTAAACATATATTTTGTAGGCTACAAAAATATAATTGGTTTATTGATAAAATTGTTTTTAATTTTAAGCTGTTTGAAATGTGGCTATCTACAAGGGAAGAAAAACTTAATGAACAAATACAGCGACTAAACAGAGCTCAAAGAATAGTGGAAGTTGAAAAGAAACAGAAGGAATTAGAAGTGGAAGAGCAAAAATTGTGGTTCTTTGAAAATGAAGAGAAGATTGATTTGGAAATTGAAAGCAAAGAAAAGCTTCATACTAGTACTGAAAAGAATGACATAAATATCAGTGAAGACAATTATATTCCACCAGAAATATTGCCAAAGCGTAAATAATGTTTACTGATTAGAGAAAGTAAATAAAAGTCTAAATTAACATTTCTTATATTATTTATAACTTAAATTACTTCTAACTCCATAAATGTTAATATGAATAAAAAATGTGAATTATAATGATTCCTTTTGCAGTTTGGTCAGATCCAGCTGTATTTTCTCCAATATATCTTCAGTTCTTTTTGATTTCTCTGCTTTAATATTATCCTCTAGGTCTACTATGTCTCTGGCTAAATTTCCCGTATCATTCACTAAGGACACAATGGTATTGCACTCAGAATGCAACAAGGCTAACAATTTGTAGGCTTTCTTAGCTTGATCATCTTTTTTAGCGTCCTGGAATACATTTAATATAGTTTATATATATGTAAAAAAATTTGAATATCTATATGAATATCATAATTTTTAACCTTAAATAGTGTTTCATCAGCAATTGAAAAACATCTATCCAGTTGTCCTTCAAGAGTGTTGATTTCTTTCTGTATTTTTCTAGTATCTTGAAGAATGTTTCCGATCTCCAGATTTTGCTTTTCTACATTACCTATGATTTCTAGAATCCTTTCTGTGTAAACATGTCTGTAATTATTTGATACAATTAGTTAATATTTTCTAGTGAGAGGGATAAAAATCAATGATGTAAGATTAAAAATAAGTAATAGTCAAAATATGAGGAAAATATATAAGTACATAAGAATTATTTCATATAAATAACTTAGTCAAATAAAGTTCTACAATTTAAAGAAATAAATCATTAAATGACTTAACCTTTTGTTACCTCCTTTTAATTTTTCATACTTTAATCTAAGTTGTTTACTCAATTCCTCTTTCTTTTCACATTCTTCTTTCAAAGCTTTAGCTGTTTCCTTTAGGTTGACTAAGATGCTTTTACACTTACTCCGCTCTGACTGAAAATTTACACATGTTAATAAAATAATCAATTAATCCAAGTGACTATTAAGTTAAGGTAAAAATTAATGGAGTGACCTTACCTCAGATAAAGTAGTTGTACTATTTACTTTATCAATCTCAACTTTTAAACTCAAATTTTTTGATGTCAGATTTTCACTTTTGCTGTGCAATGAATTTATGTTTTTCCTCACTTTGTTTAACTTGTTTTCTATTGTGCCATCTTCAATATTTGTTATTCCAATATCTCGTAAAATATTCTCTACATTTTTTAAATCAGCTTCAGCCCTTTCACAGTATTTAGTTGCCTTGGATAAACAGAAAATGTTCAATTAAGCAAAATTATTTAAAACTGTAATACAATACAGTTTTCTATAATCAAAAAGGTTAATTATTAATAAATAAATACTATTTTTTTTCATTCAATGTCAATTATCAATTCCACAATGAAAACATAAAATACAAGTTAAAAAAAATCCCAATCTTTTATATATTAAACAAACAACCTGTGAATATTCAACATCCATGATATTTCTCTCACTTTCGAGTGTATCCAATTTTTGTCTCAATACAAATGCTGTTTCCTTAAGTTCCTTTAGACTTTTGTTTATCTCAACTTTTTTGTCAGTGATAATATTTTCTGTTTGTTGTCGCTTTGCTGCTGTACTCTTTTTAGTGATTTCATTAAGCTTTTGTAATTTCCCCATAATTTCAACCTCACTTATCTCTTTGGGTTTAATATTTTTTTCTGAAAAGTTATTAAATGGTTATATATGTTGATAATTTAATTATTATGGAAAAGTCAGTTTCTATTTAATATCTGGAATATGTGGTTCTGGCTTAATAAAGCCTAGGAGAATTCTGAACTGTGGATATGCTATTATAAATTACAGTTAAGATTATCACATTTACTTCTATGACAGATAATTATACATCTGCAACCAAACTACTTATTCCTGTCTTACCTTCTGTATATATGAAATCACCAATTGTATGGGTATTGGGTTTACAACAAGGAGGTATCCACATAGTATTCAATTCTTCATCAATTTTGAGTGCAATTTCTTGCAGTAGAGCATTTTTCTTTTTTGTAGGTACTGTGGTGTTTGTATGTTTATCTTCATTTGGTAATTTTTCTATCAAGAACATGAAAACTTGCCTCAACTCAGCTTCATTATAATACAGAAATGTCTGATACCCAACATCATTTTTGTACCCCAGGTCCTATTAAAATAAAATATATATGATCTGTAGATATTTTAATATATTTTTAACACTTTGACTAAAAAAGTTGTAAGGAAAAATATGGAGGATACCTTGCATATGGAGGCAATTTGTGCAGCCACTTCTATCCTTTGTGATACACCGGGTGGCAACTTACTTGGTACTTTAATATTTGGATTTATTGCACTAATACATCTAGATGCTGCCTCAACAATAACATCAACTGATAGATCATTTAGACATTTAGTATCATCATTGAAGTTACTGCAAAAATAGAAGAATAAAAAGAATAATTTGTGAGGATAGTCCTGTAACTGGTCTGTGTTATCATCAACCTGCCCTTGTTCCTAAGGAGATTCAGCACAGGGTGTACTACTCTGCCATACATCTCTATCAGTCTACAAATATCCTATTTTACTATTATTTAACTAATCGGATGACATTTACTTACACTTTTAATTGACGAAGAAAGTGCAATATTATTGAATCTACTTCCTCCATTACGATTAAATGAAGTATTGAAAAGCCTTAATGCACTAAGTTACCAAACTAGTAGAAAATTGTCAGTTTCAATTGTAATTAGTAGTTGCATTTATTGACAGAGCAGATCACTGTCTTCATAAATCTTTTATTAAATTCTATTCTCTGCTGATTATTTACATTTGCTTTTATTTAATGTCAATGTCATTGTCATGTAAGTTGATTGAAAAGTCAAGAGTGACAGAATGTTTTTTTTCTTGACGCGCCATGTGCACATCACGTTACACTCCATCGCAAATAATATTTTTAATTAATGTAACCTTGTGTACGAACTATCTAAAATTAACGATATTATAATTTTCATGTATATCAACAGTCTCAAACTGAAATATGCATATCTTAATGAGTAAAATATTAAAGCTTCAACGCTTATGATAACATAACAACACTGATTTTTCTTATCATTTTTCCTTAGAAATAGACATTGACATAGACAACTTATTGTCTATGATAATGACTATAATTCTAACCTAGAATACAAAATAGAAATAAAATACAGTAATAAATCAATAAAAAATACTCTACCGTTTTAAGTTTCGTAGAATTTACGAAATGAAAATGCTATTAACAATCAGTTTTTCTCTTCTGCTTCAATTCGTGGTAAAGTATTGTATTTATTATAAACATATTATTCGTTGATGAATATTATTATTGTGATGTTTATGACTGAAATAATCACATTATCTTCTTTTTCATATACCATACTACTAATGAACAAACCTTTCAGGCTTGCATAGACTACGATGGTTGGTTGAATATCAAAGTTCAACATTCGCTGAATTGTAATGGTGAGAAATACTGCACCAGGGGAAACATTTCTTTAAAAAGTTTAAGAGCTGGGACTTCTGTAATTGAACAAATACCATTTCAACAGCAACATATTGATGAATTAAAGGTAATGTATATAACACGATACAGCTGATTAATTAATAATTGCCCTTTTATAAATGTTATCTTATGTTTTCAGGAATTAGCGGAGTTTGATGGTTTTTACACTATTAGGTCGTTAGTAACATCGGCAGAGACCAAGGATTCTGAATTTTTTTCTTCAGTTAAAGCAAAAGCTTTTCTAGAAAATGACCTGACAGATGTTATAAATGTTTGGGTACTCCCTAATGGAGCAGTTATAGCTGTGAGTTTCCAAGTGAATAACTCATCAAAGTCTCAATACCCACAAAGTGTGAATAATGAGTATAAAGTTCAGTCCAACTTCTACTTGCGACATGTGGAGCCCGCTGTAACGTAAGTACTTAATCTTTGTAACATTTGACACTAAACAAAATGTCTTATACTCATTCCTTATTTCATAGCATTTTTGTCATGTCAGTATATTATCTTTATTTTCAGACCGGATACTGCTTCATATATACAAAAACTTGAACGTGAACGAGAAGCTAGAGAAAAAGGAGAGTTGAAAGATAACAGATCATTTTTAGCAAAATATGTGAGTATGAAATGTGTATAAATCGTAGATATTCAGACAACCGTAATTAAGCCTTTATCAAATGATCTACATCAATGATCAAATCTTTTCTTAAAGGATGTACATCATATTGGTTATTTAATAAGAATTTATGGATAGAATGTTCTCATCACTTAGTAGCTGGTTGACAATTTACCTGTACAGTTGGATGGTAGCACAGCCTAGGCATGGATTGTATGGACTTACTGGTGCCAATTTTTGTTAGTACTGTAATTGAATGCCAGACATTATTAAGTACTACTGTCTAACTGAAGTAGCCATATGAGTTGTCATTAAAGTATTGCTGTTTTCTAATAGTTATTCTATGGACCACTTGCAACATCCTAAACAATTATCTCTCTAATTTATGTTTTAAATTGTAATTGGGTCGGTTTTTGTGCAATGTTTTGTGTTTCTTTTTGTAACAATTATGTTTTTTTTTGTTTACAGTGGATGTACATAGTCCCCATTGCGATCTTTGTGATGATTTCTGGTGCAACAAATCCTGAGGGTCCAGCACAGACAGCGCGCTAGATTATTTTTTAATAAGAATAATTTATTTATTTCCTATATAAGTATTTAGTAAAATTATTACAAGGAGTTTATGATTTATGTCCTGTGTTTTATTGAAATTATGATACAATCCTTAGATCTGTTTCTTTTACTTAACAGTTCTTAAAGCCTATGCAGAATTTTTGGGCTGAATTAGAGTGATGGGAGGTGAGGGATGGATATTCTTAATCAAGTGGTTATCATTTTAGCATTACTATTAGTTTATTTCTGCTGTGGGTAGGTTTTTTGTTGATATCTGATACAACTGTTATAGATATTTAACCCATCACTAGTTAATATCAGGATAGGAACTTCCTAAAATGTGTGTTTAAAAAGACACTTACATGATGTTTTTTTTTTATTTTATATATAAAATATGGAGAACAAGCATTTCTAGGGATTTCATTTTCAGGTGCATTCATTTTGTCGAAATATTTAGATTTTATAGCACTATTGAGTTCCATGTGCAGCAAACAGTGTACCATAATGTAAAAATGCAAGACAGTTAAGTTATGCTCCAATTTTCTCAATTTCTTCTGCATCCTCAATGTCTAACAAATGGATCTTCTTACCAAAGTGTGCTTCAATGTCTAAACAAATTTGCATTGCCTGGGATGAATCAATTAGATTAATTGCTATTCCTGCTTTTCCAAATCTACCTGTCCTTCCGATTCTGTGTAAATATGTTTCACAATCTGCTTTTTTGTTTAAATCCATAGGCATGTCAAAGTTCACTACTAGAGTAACTTGTTCTACATCAATACCCCTGGACAAGACATTAGTTGTGATTAAAACTTTCTCTAAACCAGCTCTGAAACGATCCAGCACAGCTATTCTCTGTTCAACTGTGAGCTCTCCTGATAGCACTGCTACCGAATGACCATCTCTAGACATTTTTTCTGATAACCAACCTGCGGTTTTTCTAGTATGACAGAAAATGATAGCTTGGCCAATAGTAATTACTCCATAAATGTTACAAATAGCTCTGTATTTGTCATCTGAACTTTTACACTTCACATAATATTGCTTAATATTATCTAAAGATTCTTCTTCTCTTAACAGTCTTATTATAATTGGATTAGGTACAATGACTTCAGCAAAAACCATGACTGCACTGTCATATGTGGCAGAGAAGAACATCATTTGACAAGTCGAAGGGAGACATTTATGTATCTTTATACACTGATCTTGATGACCTTGACGATCAATCATTACATCTGCTTCATCCAATACAAAAACTTTAATTTTGCTCAAATCAAACATTCCAAATTTAACACCCCAGTCTAACATTTTACCTGGTGTCCCGATGATTATGTGATCAGTGATTTTAGTTCCTTTAGGTACTTCTTCACCTCGGACAGCATATTTAAGTTTAATTTCGGGGCAAAACTTTGCCATCTTTGCAGCAACTTCCCCAGTTTGTATTGCTAGTTCATATGTTGGACTAAGACAGAGCACTTGTGGATAATTCTTTGTAGGATCTACTCTGCTTAGCATAGCAAGTACAAATGCAGCAGTTTTACCAGTTCCGGATTGGGATTGAGCAATCATGTTTTGAGGAGGATCAGCTAGTAGTGTTGGCAATGCTGTTTCTTGAATCTTGGATGGGGCATTGAAACCCATGGCATAAACTCCCTTTAGTAAATTTGGTTTCAAATGAAGTGCTTCAAAAGTTTTTACTGAATATAATGGTGAATTTGGGTCTTTCCTTTGCACTTCAATATCCAACTTAGATTCAACCAATCCTTGCCTTATTATTTTCATCAATAACGAAGCTTCAGCAGGATTGGCAGCATCTGGGGCATCGTCTGTTTCTGATTTCTGGTTCTCATTTTTCTTTACCAAATCCAAACCCGCTATTTTATTAGAAATTTCCAATTCATCTGCTTTTTGTCCCCACTGGCTAGCCATTTTACTCTGTAAAATAAGTTTTATGTTGTTTTTACAATCTCCAAACTTTCTAAACATTTGTCACAATAGAAAACATGTTGAACTTTCGTCAAGTTATATTAGATAGAAAAAAACAATAGCAACTGTTAAGTACTCACTTTTTGTTTCTTATAAATACAATTAAAATTATGATAATTACAAAAATAAAAGCGGTGTGGAAAGTACCGGAAACTTTTTTTCCCTTTTTCTTCAAAGAGTGTATAAAACAGAGTGTGTATTGAGTATGTAAATGAAACATAGATTATATATTATTTTGGTAGCAAGTTACAGAGTATAAATGTTAACGTCACATCAAATTTCAAAATCAATTTCGTAGCTTGACCCAGCCGGACCTAAAACATACCACACCTTGCTATATTGCGGAAAAACATGTAATGTAAATTATTCCTTTGTGTGATGATTAGGTGTTTGTTAGTTTGTAGACCTATAGGGTTATATAGCTTTGCGATAAATCCCTCGCTTTAACAAAATGAATTTAAAAAAAATCTGGATAAATGTGAACTACTCACCGCAATTTGCGGAGGACGAGATTTGCTACTATTCTTTTTAGATAGGGATGTGACTTTTTAGATAGGGATGTGACAATAGCCCAAACATTTAAAAAAAAATAAGTAAAGGACATGGGGTGTTTTGTTGCTTTACACTAATTGCCGATGTTAAGATCGTTTGAGGCGCTATTATTGAAATAATACTGTGAGATATCTACTTCTACATGTTATGTTTGGAGATCACGTTGTGTGTAAGATTGTTGACATTTGTTATGTAATTGTGATATAAACAAGATAGGCATTTTTAAACCGTTAATAAAAATATTTTTTTTAAAGATAACATCTGGTAAGTTACAAAGCAACGTTGTTGGTACAAAAAGTATACTTTTCTAGTGGCATTTTCTATTTATTAGAGAGAAATAGGTAATGACTAACCTTAGGCTTTCGCTGCCAAAACACTCGTATACTTGTATGACTGCCATTGCAGTGGAAACTCACGGTTATAGAGAGCAAACAAAAATGTTTTTTACGCATATGTTACTGTTAGTATGAATAATATAGAAAGTCTTAGAATATGCAATGTAAAAGGCAGCTCGCATTAACTTTTCAGGTTAAGAGTTAGTGAAAAAATACCTAGTTGTGCGAATTAATAAAATGATATGCGCTATTTGGAAGTTTGTAACAGTCATTATAAATCTACAATGTATATTATTTTCATAAGAATAATACTTTTTGTCCGTAACTTCGACTGCGCGGAATTAAAAAAAAACTACTTGAGTAGTCTATGTTTCTCTCTTAGAGGGTGTTTAACATCTCTACCATATGCACATTCATGCAGCCGTACAGGAGATGCCTAGCATTCATAATCCAAACATTTACATTAACAACACCTATAATAAGAAAGATATACTTACTGCTTTCTATCGTTTATATTGCTTACGAATTGATAGAGCCAAAGGGAAGTTTTAGACTTATCAGAAAGCTTCCGTAAATTTTTTTTATTCCCTCGTGTATTTAAGAAAGCTTCTTTTGTAAAGAAAAAGCCGGTTCCATTTACTATGTTTTAATTCTGAAGCGAACTTACATTGTATTACTTGTAAATCAAGTTAGTTCGTGCGTGATACGTAATGGGATTAGGTACAACTTTCTCTGTTATAATTAGTTAAATCGTACTATTTTTCTTAGAACGAGGTATAAAAGTTAATTTACAATTTCGTTAAAATATTAATTTACAAAGGGTGTCGGTTTTGTTTATTTTGATTATCGATTTTTATATTATTTACGTGCAACCTGTACATATAAAAAAGTTTGATAAAAGATATTTCTGAAGTCAACCAACCTGCACTGGTCCAGCTTGGCTGTCTAAGTTCTAGTCACACGTAACTTAGAGTAGGCTCCGAGCCCTTCAGTGGGGACGTGTATTAAGCTGATGATGACGTCTTTTGAAGTTTATAAAATATATTTTAGTTAGTCTAATAGTAAACTGCGATAATTTCTGTTTAATATTGTTATAACCACAAATTAACTGTAGATATTTATTGTAACACGTCGTACATGGTACAAACCGCATGCATTTTTCATGTTGGTTACTTTTAACTTGTATTTCTAACAAATCCCATAATATCAAGAAATAGGATTGGTTTTGTTTTTAAAAAATATTTTTCCAGATGTGGTATTTTTCCATGTTTATCGTGTATTTTTAATGGCATGGTATTTTTTTTGTGTAATTGTTGATGTATGTTTATTGTTTTGATAATGTATCACTCGGGGAGGTTATCTTATGTTACGTGAGAAGTGAATAGATATATCGTGCCATGTCTATTTAAACTGCTTAAACGCTTTTGCACTTCGCATTTGGGCTACCAATTGTTCCTGGTCACACATCTTCGCTCGGGTTTGATTTTTTTTCCTTATTTTTATTGTCTTTAACATATGTTAATCTTTCTTACCAATATTGTATAATATTTAACATAATAGTAAGAAATAACGTTTACATATTTGTATCGCATTTGAGAAGGTTGTTATGTATGTTTTTTGGAAGGTATCTCCTAAACACGGAGTCGCGGGATACAGCTAGTATGAATATATATTCGTTTTCATTATAAGACCAATCTCGTTTCTCGTATTTATTCGAAAGCGATTATTAAGGCAGGTGTACAGTCACAGGCTCAAGTGGATGGAAGCCTAGCCGCTTGCATTATACTACGCTTATTCATATTTTATTTTATATTCAGATAAAAACCTATCAGTATGGCCACCAAGAAGTTCGCTGGACCAACGCCTTACTCCTTCAGTCCTTCCTACCCAAAGGTCGATTACGTTTTCACTGAGTATGTATTGTTCTTCACTGGTCATACTTATTTAAAATTGTTGAAAATTCTAACCACTTTTGCTGTTTAGGCACTTGAATAACGTGATGACAAAGGACAACGGCAGGCCCACGGTATCACCGGTTGTGGGTGCCATTTTCGGCCTGGGCCGTGCTGGCTCCATCCACCTCGCCAACATCATCAACAACCCCCGCATCATCCTAAAATACATCGTCGACGACCGCGTTGAGAGGTTCAATGACCTGAAGAAGTACTGGAAGTTGAGCGATGACGTCACTTTCATCACCTCAAAGGAGAGCGACAAAGTGTACAAAGACAAGAGGTAAAATAACCATTCTTTGTAGTCGGTTAAAATTAATTTAGTTTATTAATATAGTATATTAAAACTGTAAGCAGTGATTAAAGGGGATAAACGGCATTTCTTTTCGCAGCGTTAACGTGGTATTTATTTGCTGCCCAACGTTTGCTCACCACAACATTGTCGTCAACTCGATCGCCAACAACAAGGACGTCTTCTGTGAGAAACCTATCGCGGAGTCCAGCGAAGATACACTCAAGTGCTATCAAGCCGCCAAGAGCAAGGGAAAAACCTTATTCTCAGCTTTCAACCGTCGCTTCGACCCCGCCTACAGGAGCTTAAAGGAAAGAGTCAGGGAGGGAACTGTCGGACATGTACAGATCCTCAAAGTTACAGCTAGAGATTCCCCACTGCCATCCATCGACTACTTGGAGACATCAGGTAATTGATAACAATTTTTTAGACCAGGTCTTGCTTCAGCTACCATTTATATATATGCCGTAGTTTATATTTATATTTTACATTTTTGAATTCTCCAGGGGGGCATCTGTCGCTCTCTACTCCTCGGGCGATGTCCATTGTTGTATACATCTCCAAATATATCTTGCAGTTGGTCTTTATGACAAGGCCCGTCGGCTTTCGGCCACCTCATAATTGTAATTGTGTGGTTTTAGATCGTCATCTCGAAACTACAATTACAATTAGGGTATTTAATTTAGTTAGTATTAATAGTGTAGGTGGGTAAAAAAAAACAATATGTTAAACTGGGAGATGGAAATGATGAGGGTATCTTCTGGCTGTGCACCGTCTGCTCGCTCTATCCTGGGCACTGCGTGTTGTCTCGGTTTGATGATGGTGATGAGGGTATAGCACAATATGTTTTATAAATTTAGTGATCTGTAATTTCAGGCGGTGTGTACCACGACTGCCTCGTGCACGATATCGACATGACGTGCTGGGTGCTGGGCGAGCTGCCGATTCGTGTGCAGTCCTCCGCCACCGCGCTCATCCCGGAGATCAAAGCCATCGACGACTTCGATACCATCGCCTTCCTTCTCACCTTCCCCTCGGGCGCCATCGCTATCGGCGACAACAGCCGTTTCAGCGCTTACGGATACGATCAAAGGCTCGAAGTCTTCGGAAACAAGGGTTTGTTATAATTAGTATTCACGTTTTCAAATTGTTTCTGTGCAACAAAAGATAGTAGATTTACCTACTTAATATTTTATTCAGGTATGCTGAAGGTAGAAAATGAGAAACCTTGCCCATCGCTGGAAAGCTACCTCGGCCACGAGGGCGTCAAGACCAACCCCATCTACTACTCATTCCCGTCCCGCTACAAGGCCGCCTACAAATACGAACTCGAACACTTCCTCGATGTTGTTCAGTGTAGGTTTTTTATTTTATTTTTACTGAGTATGGTAAAACCGTAAAAATAGCAATTTGATTAAAATATCTATAGACTCACTTTTACCTTTCAGGTTTTCCCATATTTTAGTGCTACCTAAATATAACATTGTGTAGTGCACAAGAGAGTAATCATAATCTTCAGTACTAGAAGTGTAGCTGAAATGCTTTATTTTGCAGTCGGTGACAAGCCCGAGGTGACGAGCTGGCAGACACTGGCGGTTAGCAAGATCGCGGATGCGGCAGAGCAAAGCGCGCGCACTGGCAAGACCATCGACATCGACTGGAGCAAGGATGACATCCCTGCCGTCTACTCATAAATCTATGCCCAGCGGAACCAATGAAACAACGAATAATAACGCTAAAGCAATGCATATGGATAATGATACTGTGTTATTTTTAATAAATCTCTTCATAAAATAATAATTGTCGTTTTTGTATATTTTATTTCCTTTATACTATATATGGATATAGTACAAACGTGCAGTTTGATGGTCTGAAAGACTAGTAGTAGAACCTATAAACAATAGCAAAAAAATTGGAAGTCCTTTTTAAATTATCATTATCACTAGATATATATTACTAAATAGTTATAATTGTTACTAAGTAATTTAATTACTTATAGTTTAAAAGTATTTAACATAACAAATGCATGCGCTATGTAAAATATACGACGTGTTACAATAAATAAGTACAGTTAATTAATTTGTGGCTTTATAATTTATTAGCAAAGTTTTTATAGTTCGTTGTTAGGCAAAATAAAAATTATAAACTCTAAAACTTGTCGTCACCGGCTTACTACACATCCCCATTGTATCATTACAAGAAAGAAAGCAAATTTTCGTAAAGTGGAACACCGCAGACTTCTGCAATTGTACTTATGACAATCGAAAAACACTTTCGTTCATGGCGCGAATCGAACTCGGGCCCTGCAGCTACTGAGCCAACTTTCTCACTCCTAAAACATATAAAGATCATAAACATCTAAGTATTTTTAAGATTACATTTATTGTTTGAGTTAGATGATATAAGCGCAAGTTATTTTCGTTTATATAATTTTCTTGATGGAATTTCAATAAAAACTAAAGATTGAGCCTCATTGCGGTAAACATTGAAAAAGTATGTGGTATCCCCCAGAAGTTGGTGCAAGTTCAAAGTGAATTTATTGAAGTGGAATATTCTATATGAGGGGCAAAGGTATTCATATTTAATTTTCCCTTGTACGAAAGTCCGTAAGAAGCCTTTTATCTCGACGTAATTTCTTAGAAAATTCTCCGAACCAACAATGTATACACTTGCCTAGTGTTACTTATTTTTTTAGCGATAATAACAATATACTTTTAACTTGTTCAGTCAAATTATTTTTAGTGTAAATATTAAATTCTTCACATTTTATCGATTACGTAACTGACCTATCAGTATAACTAGATGGAATTTTGACCAGATGGTGTTAATATTTGGAACCAATTGGTTCCTTTTTAAACCATGTTCGCACTTGTGTTTGTTTCATGGGAAATGCATGCTCACAAACAATTTATTTAAATGGTAAGTACGCGAATTATTTTCCTCTTGAATTGCAAATTTAAACTGACTATGTATTGCACAAAATGTATGAGCAGTTAATTTAAAAGCATTGAAGGCTTGGGTAACGAAACAAAACGACAAGCTAAACTTTTACATATATTTATTGCTTTAACCATTGATCTATTGTACGACATTATTTCAAGCATCATTTGTTGAATGAACTATGGATTTTTTTACCATTAACAAAGGTTGTTAAGGGTGTTATGACAGAGTAATTCGCAAATATGTGACGCCCATATCTGCCAGGCGCCCTGGGCGGTCGACCAACCGTGCCTAGCACTAACGCCCGTACTGGACTTAGTTTTAACATGATCAAATAAATATTTTGGTTTATGTTATTGTCTACATCTATCAAACGGATAAGGTATACCTATGTATAATCTGGTTCATCGTTTTACTTAGCTTTAGAACTGGCGCACACCTTTAACTAATCTATCGGGCGACTGTTGTGCGATCGTTTATTAAACTGTGTTCGCGCGCTCTTAATGCTTTAAGTAAAATTCTCTAGCTTTTGATGTTTCAATATTTATTTTTGTTTACGTTACAACAGAACAATGAATTCTAAAAAACCGTTTATAGTTAGAGTTTATCTGTTTTACGAGTAGCGAATAGCGAAGCAGACGACTGTAGCAAATGTAATTTAGCTGCAGCGGTGCGGTATAAGAACGAGTGGAATTATTTATCTAACTGCAACGGCGACTTTGACGGAGGTGGCTCGCTCGAGCGCACAGAACAAGGATTAATTGAGTTAGATATGTAACGAATGCCGATAATGCGATCAATGATCTTGTCTTTTATTCTCGTTGTTTATTTATAAAACATGAATAGTAAAATCTGACATCTATACTTATCAATTTTGATCAACTGATTGGGCTACAATTTATTTATCCTTAGATAAACATCACTCTCCTGTTAACAAGACAATAATTAACTCGGTGGTTACTTCCAGAAAAGAAATTCGTACTAACATATAATGTTTTTATAGTTATTACACACACAACATAAAACAATATTAGAAGAAATAATTGCTATTAATGTATTCAAGATAAGTTCTCCGTTCGGTACAGATCATACATTCGGTAACGAACATACAGTCAAAATTTCGCGGCTCGGGTTAATGCGGGTAATCCGGCGCATTTTTATTCTCCCGCAAAGGAAGGTAGATTTGAATTCCTCTCCGTAACGGTACGCGGAGCCTGCGGAGAGGTGTGCGGAAAACACAGTCTGGTGCACTTGCACTTGCTTGGCTACTTAACCAAGCGGTTC